GATTACATTTTTAAGATTTTTTTAGGGGGGGAGGAGAGCACAAGTTGGGGAGGGGCAGAGAGAGGACAGAGGATCTGAAGCAGGCTCTGTGCTGACAGCCCATATGGGGCTTGAGTTCATGAATCATGAAATCATGACCTGAGTCCCCCAGGTGCCCTGATTTGATTATATTTTTGTTGGCGTAATCATTCTGTGTACGGAGCTCCTTGAGAGTGGGAGTTGTCTGCCTTATTCATTGCTGTGTTCTCAGAATCCAGACACACAATAGTGGCTCCATAAACATCGAATGAGCAAGTGAGTGAATGAACAGCTACAAGAGCACGATGTCTAGAAGGACGCGCAGCTGAACTGTGACCCGAGATGGACTCTGGAGGTAGGTTTATGAGGGACTTTTATTGTGTTGATATTTTTTTTGTTTCTTCTGAAATTTCTAAATGAGCACCCCTTGTGTATCCAATCGGGAAAGAACAGTAAAGGCATTAAAAAGAAAAGTGAAGGCTCTGTCCGGGGTCCTGGGGGTGCCGGGGTTCCCAATGAGGTCAGGGCGTGGGGGCTGACCAGGAAGAATGTTAGGCTGGTGACCAGGGCAGCCCCCCCACCCTGCCCACACTCATTCCATGCAGGCCTGGTGGAGCTGAGGTGCTGGGGGCAGGGGAAGGTGAGGCCCAGAGAGGGCCGGTGACTGGTCTGGGGTCTCACAGCAGAGCCAGGATGGACAACTCAGACCTGTCAGGTCTCAGCCTCCAACATCGCAAAGTTTGGACACTCGGTGAGGTTATTCATACCCCTTAACTCTGTTTCACAGATGAGGAAAGGGAGGCCCAGGGGTACACAGCAAGAGGGCTAGAAGCACAGGTCTGGAGACAGACTGGCTCAAATTCTAAATCTGTCACTTTACTCTCCAGGGAGTGTCCTTCTCATGAGGCTTCAGTTCCCCTGGGCGGAGGGGGGTGGTGGTGACAACAGGCATGGCCACTGTTGTCACTGCTTGTTTGGACTGGTGCAAGGGTCCCCTGATTCTCTGCTTCCCTTCTCATGGTCCACCCCCCACAAAGGAGGCAGAGGGATCCCCTCACAACGGAGGTCATTACCCAGTTCCATGGAATGCTACAGAACCGTGGGAAAGAACAGACTGCTGGCATGCACAGCACCCTGGCCAAGTCACAAAGACACCGTGCTGACCCAAGGAGGCTGACACAGGTGGCCATGTGCTACATGATTCCATTTATAGCACATGATGGAAAAGGCAAAACTGTGGGGACAGAAAACAAATCAGAGGTGGGGTGGGGGGGTGGTTCATAGGGGTTCAGGCCACTTTGGGGAGTGATAAAACTTTTATAAGTTTTTTGTTTGGGATTGTAGCTATTTGAGGGTAAACATTTATCAAAACCATACACGTTGGGGTGCCTGGGTGGCTCAGCTGGTTAAGGTCCAACTTCAGCTCAGGTCACGATCTCACAGTTTGTGAGTTTGAGCCTCACATCAGGCGCTGTGCTGGCAGTGGGGAGCCTGTCTGGGATTCTCTCTCCCTTTCTCTCTCTGCCCCTCCCCCACTTGCTCACTCCCTCTCGCTCTCTCTCAAAATAAATAAATAAACTTAAAAAAAAACCCTGTACCCTGAAAAGAGTCATTTTTACTGTATGTAAATACTACCTGAATTTTTTTAATTAAAAAAAAAACCCCACAAACAAAAACCTCAGCTATGGTCGGTGCATTGAGCTTCATTTCACTATTGAGTGTATTTACATGAACTGTATGTTTGAAATTTTCCAATATTAAAAACAAAAACAAAAACAAAAGCCCTAAGATTGCATCTCTGATCTGCTCAAAACCTTCCCATATCTCTCTCCTGGCTCAGAGTAAAAACCAAAGGCTTCCCTGTGGCCAGCAAGGATCCTCAATCCTTTCCCCCAGGCACCTCAGCCTCACCCCTCTCCCCTGGCTCTCTCTGTCCCAGCCCCACTGGCCTCAGGGCCTTTGCAGTGGCTGTTGTCTCTACCTGGATTGTTTTTCCCCCTGCAACATCTCCTGACTCACTTTCTTATCTCCTTCAAATCCTTCCTTAAAAGACCTCAAGTCTTTTGGGTGTGTCCTGGCCACCTTGTCTGAAACTTCCTCCAGATGCATGGCCCCACATTCCTCCTGGCTGAATCTCTGGGGCATGTGTCCCCATGAGATGAAACAAGTATTTCTTTCTTTCTTTGCTTATTGTCTCTCCCTCTCCCAGAATGTAAGCTCCTGGAGGACAAGGAGTTTGGTCTGTTTTGTTGCATCCCCTTAGAATAGTTCCTGGCACACAGTAGGTATTCAATACATATTTGCTACATGAATTAATGATTGACTGAATAAATGATATCCTTATACACCGAACCTGGTCTCTATGTGGCCCCACCAGGTCCCAGTCACAGGGGCTTTAAGCACTCAGGGCTCGCCTACACCAAGACTATTGGGACCCAGCTTTGCTTTCTAGCTTCTGGGGTCACACATTCATTCAGCAACCATCCCCAAGGTCTTGTTTGTGGCCAGCATGCTCTGGGGTCAAAAGATAGAGCAAATCCGTTTAACTTGGTGTGTATTAATTACTCACTTTATCTTTTATTGATCTGCTGCCTTGCTTCACAAATGATTTCTGCATGTTTTAAAGATGCCAGCAAACTCCTACATTAAAAAGTAAGAGATAAAGAAAAGGATCAGGAAAAAAAAAAAAAAAAAAGGGAAGGGGAAGTGCACCTGAGTGGCTCAGTCAGCTGAGCAGCAACTTGATTTTGGCTCAGGTCATGATCTCATGGTTGGTGAGTTCGAGCACTGAGTTGGGCTCTGCACTCACAACACAGAGCCTCTTTCAGATCCTCTGTCTCCTTCTCTCTCCCCCTCCCTGACTCTACTCACTCTAAAAAAGAAACATTAAAAAAACAAAAACAGGGAGGATCTTGGGCTCTTCTGCTAGGCCTGGTGTGCACTGGGCTCTGCCAGGGACTTATTCAGAGAGGAATCTTCCCTGGACTGATGCTGGTTGGGAACCATCAGTGAGGGCTTCTTGGAGTAGGTGATATTTGAGTAATAGCAGAAGCAAAGGCCCAGATGGGAAACAGCATGGACTGTTCATGGAATTTCCAGAAGCAAGTTCTTTGGAGACAAAGCAGTCACCTGAGACATATAAAGGTCACATCTTGCTTGCTCAGGATTACAGCCAGCCCTGACTCAGCTGAGGTCAAGGCCCCCTCTGACCCCAGAATCCCTTTCTGTCTCCTTGTACATAATGACTCACTCCTCAGCCTTGTTTTTATTTCCAAACTCCATGACACAATGTACACTTGTTAAAAAAAATCTGCTACAATATTCTCAATAAATATATCTGAATAAATAAACTGTAAAAAGAAAAAACTCCAATAAATCAAAAAGAAGAAAAATGAATGGGCAAAATGCTTAAACAGGCTCTTCACAAAACTGGATCTCCAAATGGCTAAAAGTCATTTGAAAAAGGCTCAACATCATCAGTCATCGGGCAAATGCAAATTAAAGCCACTTCACACTCATCAGAATGGCTACAGTTAAAAAGGTGGCAACACCAAATGGAACTCTCAACATTACTGTTAGCAGCATAAAATAGTACAGCCACTTTGGAAACAGGTCTGACAGTTTCTCATAATTTGGTCTCATAGAAGGCAACTTCTCTTACCTTCCATAAGACCCAGCATTCTTGGCAAACACCCAACAAGGGTGCTACAACACAGACACCGAGAGAGGTGGTCAAGAATGCGTTCAAGATGTATTCATAACAGTCAAAACCCAAAAGCAACCCCAATGGCAAATAAATAAATTATGGTATATGCACACAATGGATTACCATTCAGTGATGAAAAAACATGGATAACTCTCCTATATAATGTTGGACACTAAAAAGTGCATACTAGATGATTCTGTTTATGTGAAACTCTAGGAAGATCAAATTAGTCAATGATGCTAGAAATCAAGGACAGTCCTTACCTGAAAGGCTGGCCCACTGATTGCAAGAGGGTGAGGGAACCATAAGTGTTCTCTTCCGTGATTTGGGTAGTGGTCACGTGGCAGTGAACTTCGAGCTTACGCCTTAATTAACAAACTAGGAAAGGGTATACTGTAGTTCATGTGATTCATAAGCAGCAGTGGGTGGGAGAGAGCACAGCGTCAGGTGTGAACAAGATGCCGGGAGGGGGAAGGCTGGTCAAATCCCCTTTTGGAAAAAAAGTTTGCCACCACCGCCACCACTCCCACAGTCCTGTGAGCCCTCGAATAAGTCCCTACCCCTTTTCTGGCACTCAGTTTCCCCAACTGTGGAGTGGATCCAGGGATATCCATGGCTTCTTACACTTACGCCTCATTTGGGGTGGGGTGGCATTTCACCCCTATCCCAAACAAGTCTTCTCAGGATTGCTCCTCCTCACCAGCCATACCTGTATACGGGTCAGACACGAAGCACCAATCCTCCCAAGGTCCCAGCCGTGTGTCCTCAAGGTCTTTCACTCCTTGGGCCTCTACTTACTCATCTGTAAAATGGAGTCAAGCATACCTATTTCTTAGGCTTGTGATGAGAATTTTCACTGAGCGCAATGTGTCCTTACTGAGCGCTCCCTGTAGCTTACCAGGGCTTTGCTATGCACACGCTGTGCACACAGCAAGTGCTTAATAAATGGTGCCTTCGAGAGAATGATTAGAACTCCCTATAGGTTGTTACATCTTTTTGAGAAGAGGTCCGTGGGGGACAGGAGGGGCAAAGTTGCTTGCGGGTCAAACGCAAGAGGGAAAAGTGGTCCTGGGGGCGGATGCGGCGCGCGTTGTTTTGTTTGCGGCGCGGCGGCGAGTGGAACGCGGCCAGAGAGGCGCACGGCCCCTTTAAGAGTCGAATGGAATGTATCAAAACAAAAAGGTCGCGCGCCCACTGGCTGCGCGCCGCACGTGACCTCACAGCTGATTTCCTGGCCCCCCTCCTTTTTTTTTTTTTTTTTTTGTTGCTGCCGCGGCCGCCGCCGAGTGTCAGTTTCTGCGCCGCCGCCTGCGGTCTCCCCGCTGTGGGCTGCCGGCCGTCGCGAGTCTCCGTCCCCGCCGCCGCCGCCGCCACCGCCGCCGCCGCGGGCCCGCGCACCTCTCCGCGCGCCCGCCCCGCCGAGCCGGCGCGGGCCGCGGGTCCCAGCGGCCACTGCCCGGCGCGCAGATGGCGCACTCGGCGGCCGCCGCGCCGCTGGGCGCGCTGGAGCAGGGCTGCCCCATCCGCGTGGAGCACGACCGCCGGCGCCGCCAGTTCACCGTCCGGCTCAACGGTAACGCGGCGTCCGACCCGCCCCCGCCTTTTGTCTGCGAGCAAGCGGGGCCCGCCGAGGCCGCCCCCTTGCTGGGGCGCGCGCCCCCGGCCCGCGGCCCGGGAGGGGCGTCGCGAGCGCGCGCCGCGGGGTGGCCTCTGGCTGCCATCGCTCGGGTGCAGCTCCGCCCGGCGCTCCGGGATCAGGCCCCGGGCTGCGCTCGCGGGCTTGGTGGGGGCGCGGCCGACTCGCGGGTTGGGGAGGAGAGGGCTGCCGGGGAGAGGCCCGCCCACACGGAGCGCCCCGGGCCGGCGGGCAGGGAACCCCTGGGAAAGGCAGGTAGAACTAGGGCCGGCTCGTGGGTTGCGAGGCCAGCACCCTGCTTCAGCTACAGGGGACTCTCACCTGCTTGAACATGGCTGTTTTCCGGTGTTGGGCACCTCTTGAGGGCTGCCGTCGGTGGTCCTGGAGGGTGGGTCAATGGTGACCTCTCCCCTTTCCCTGGGTGCTAAATGACTTCTTGCCGCCCCCAGGAACTTTAGCTTTTCCGCACCGACAGAGTTGGGAGAATCTTCTGCGCAGACCTGGGGCGGAGGAAGAGAGAAGTGTCTGCCCCAGTGGGGACGACGGAGGGGAAGGTGTCACTGTCAGCCCCATTGGCTCTCCGACTTTGGCCAAGTTGCTTCATCTATGTGCCCCAGTTTCTCTATCTTTGCAATGGGAATAACACCAGTGCACTCCTCTCGGTGATTGTAGGGACGAAATAAGTTAATGAGAGTGAAGACTTAGAAAAGCGCCCGCAGCATACAGCAAATGCTGATCACCATGGACTGAATGATGGTTGTTTTTAAAATCAGAAAGTAAAGTTGAGTCTTCATTTCCTGTAAAGAAAGTGGCCACCACTTACTAACCCATACTCCCTCCCCGCTAAGAGGTCTGAGGGACTGAAAAGAGAATTATAAAATTCAGGACCAAGAACTCCCTGTGCACCACCTCTCTGCATTAATAACTTTTTCTTCCCTCCCAGCTGGGCCCCCTGAGGCAGGGTCCAAGCCGGAAGGGCCCTTAGAAGCCATCGTGCCCATTTCTGAGAAAGGAAGGCCGAGTCTCAGAAAAGGGAAAGGTTAGCCTGAGGTCAGGCAGTAAGTTAGGGCAGAGCTGGGATAGGATCCTGCCTGGTCTGACTCCTGGAATGGGCTTGTCTGGCCTGCACTGGGAACAGTCAGGAGGGGCTGGGGGAGGGACCTGGATGATTCTCAGGCCCTGTTACGATATCCCAGTGGTATGGGCACTGTTTCCTCCACATTACAGATAAGTAAACTAAGGTTTGAACCACAGGGAGAGGGACTTGCCCTGCATTACAAAGTGCCAGAGCTCCAACCTGGGCCCACCTGACCCTACACAGGGTTCTTTCCATGTGATCCCACCGCCACGGTGCTCGCTGTGGCCTGGCTGGCCATGACACTCAGGGCTGGCCATTCTTGTGTGGAGGGTCCTTGAAGTTTTTCAGATCCTCTTTCCTGAGTTTCCAGAGAGGCCTCTGGTTCCCTTGGGGGCTTAAGGGGCTCCTCTATATGTTCACAGAGACAGAAGAGAAAGGGAATGCTTGGGGTTTTCCTTTTTTTTTTTTTTTCTCAAATCAGTACAGCCGAAGGACACCCCTCTAGAAACGGCTGTGGTCAAGGCTGGATGGGCCTGGCTTTATTTCTAAACTTGCCTCCTTCCCTTCCCCAGATTGGTCAACTATAAAATGGCCCCGGGGCTCCCCAGGGTGGAGTGGGAGGCAGGCAGCTTCTCTCCAGCCTGCAAGGTGGAGTCTGGGTGTGTATTTGGGGAGGGGGGTGGAGATCGTCTGTATCCGGGCCCAGTCCTGCCTGTCATGGTCTCTGAGCTGCAGAGCAAGCCCTGGAGACTAGCTCATTGTGCCCATGGAGAGAAGGGAATGCTTAGGCGGAGAGCCAGAGCAGCCCCAGAGCTCCTAGTGCAGGCGCTGGGACCACCCCCCTGGCAGAGCTGTGCTGATAAGCTTCCAGCAAGCTATGGTTCTGGGTGAGGGAAGAGTTGGAGCAGCTGCCTTCAAGTCCTTGTGTTCCACGGAGGCTCTGGACGTGTGAGGAGTGGGGGCAGGGGGAGCTGCTCTTCCCGTTTTGCAAATGAGGATACTGAGATACAGGAAAGTGACCGACTTGCTCAAGGTCTTGTACCTTGGAGGGGAATAGTTGGGATTCATTCCATAAGTCCTTATTGAGCACCTACTGTGTGCTGAGCATCATTCTAGGTGCTGAGTACTCGTGGGGTTGACAGTCTGGAGGGGTAGAGGACCATAAATAAAACTTAAAGCATCCTAGAAAACAAGGGCCTAGTAAGAAATAAAGCAGGGCAGCAGGAAGGCATGTTGGGAAGGGCTGCTGTTTAGAATCAGGTGTCCGCAAGGGCCACACTGGGAAGGTGCCCTTTAAGTAAAGACAGAAAGGAGGCAGGGAAGGGGGTTCCAAGTAGAAGAAGTAGCAAGAGCAGAGGCCCCACATTGCCTGGTGTGTATCCAGAGAAATGGGGGGGGGAGTAATGGAGAGATGAGGATTGGGGGATCACAGCAGGTAAGATCGAGAGGTCATGAGGGGCAGGTGGTACCGGGACCACAGAAGCCACCGAGGACTTGGCTTTGACTCTGAGTGAGGTGCGCGCCTGAGAAGGTCCTGCGCTCCTTCCAGCAGCTCCCAGGGGCAGGACAGGAGCAGGGTGGTGGCTACTGCGCTAGTCTGGACATCGTGAGCGGGGCTGGGGAGGAATGGCCTGGTCCCGGACGGATGTAAAAGGACCCGTGGGTAGAGCATGAGATGATGCTGGAGGTCAGGCTTGTCCCCCACATGCAAGTTCTGAAACACCAGCTTGTGCATCACCATTTCCTAGATGGGAAGACCAGGGCACACAGCCAGTAGGCATCGATGCCAGAATTGAGCCCCCATCCCTGGCAGGTCCCTTCCTTGACTTTCCCTCTCCCCTCCCAGCTGGGACCGAGTTTCCCACATGCTGCAGGTAGGAGGGTCATCTGGGGGTCCTAGAATCCTGGTGCTTTCCACATGCTTCCTGACCCCCATTTTGTAGATGAGAAAACTGAGTCCCCAGAGAGCTAGTAGGTACCTCTGACCTCCCTCAGCACCCCCAAAGGCAACAGGGCTGAAAGGAAAGCAATTAATCTCGTGGCAATCAGATCTCCAACCTGGATGTGAGCCCCCTACACGCCCCCACGTTGCCACCCCCAGCATCCCGTGATGCCCGCGAGAGCAGTGTTCCTGAGCAGGGCGGGCGGGAGAGGATGGCTGTTTTGGTGAGAGGACTAACCCAGTGTGTGGACGGACTTGCCTGGGGAGCCCCCAGGCTCTGGCCTTATGTGCTCCTGGCTGTGCTGGCTTCAGCCCCTCGCACTTCTCCACGTCACAGCCCCGATGTCTAACGCGCCTCACGCCACAGATATGTAGCCCCTCCCCCAGCCAGCCTCTGTGTGTGCAGATGCTCAGAAAAGCCAGACAGGTGCTTCTTGGACCTGAGCCCCCCCCCCCCGCCCCCCCAGCTCCAGCACCCACTTGTCTTAGGCTCTCAGAGAGAGCAGAGGGCCTGGGTTCCGGCTTTGCCTCTGCTTCGGTTTCCTGGTCTATACAATGGGTGTTTGGATTCTCCGGCCCCCAACTCAGGGCTGGTTCGGGCAGAGCAGGGATGGTGGCTCTCCCCAAAGATCCCACATCTCCAACCCTGAATCCCGGATCCTCCTCCCTGCCTGCCAAGGAAGACGGTTTCTCAGTGACTGCTTCCTCTGATCACTTCCCTGGGACCCCAGTCCTCAGTGGGGCAGGGTGGAGGGTGCTGGAGTGGAGACACCCAGGGCAGGGCCCCATTAGCCGAACAGCTGTTAACTCTCCTTGAAACTAGTTACAGTTTGTGATCTCGATGTGCTTCTGTGGTCCAGGAGGGCGGGTACCGACTGTCCCAAGCGGGAGAGGGAAGGTCTTGGACACAGAGGTGTCAGAACTGGCCTGAGGTCACCTGGCAGAGCTGGGACTGGAACTCAGGGCCCCACCCTGCCCGGGGCTTGTTCCTGTGGCCCCCACTGGGGAGCACTGACCCCCTTTCTAGTGTGGCTTGAAGTTCTTGACAGCTTCTGGGACCTGGCCCAGAGAAGGGTCTAGGGTCCGAGCAAGTGACAAGAACAGTTCAACAAAGGCTGGGGGGTCCAGAGCTGGGTGTGTGTGAGGAGCCGCAAGGCCAGTGTGGCTGGACCAGGGCCCTCCCCCCCCACCCGCCAGAGGAGAGATGGGCTCCAGTGGGCGGAGGCAGGGAAGCCAGCAAGGCAGCCGGAAGGGGGTGCCTGTGGACATGTGAGCGCTGGCCAGATTCCATGCACATTTTGAAGGTTATGTCCATGGATCTGCTGAAGAATCAGATCAGAGTTCGAGAGCAAGGCAGGGCACAGAGGACTCTGAGGATCTTGGCCTGAGCCACGGGAAGGTGGCCGTTTTCTGGGGCTCTCAGGTGTCCGGTGTGGGTGGTTGGGACCAGGTGACCTTTGCTGCCTCTCTAAGGTTGAGGTGCCAGGCCAGGGGCCAGGAGCCCCAAGACTGTCCACGAGGGATCTCTGGTTCCTCCGCAGCCTAGAGTGCTGTGTCTGGCCAGTGGGTGAGTTCAGTACAGAGCTTTTTCCCTCACACGCAGCCCACCCACGTTGGTGACCCCAGATGCCTTTCTGTACCTCTTTCTGGTAGAAAACTCTCATAAGCGAACTCAGCCCCATGTGCTGCCAGGCTGTGTTTCTGCCTCTTGGAGCCTCGGTTTCCCCATCTATAAATGGGGCTCTAAGAATCTTACATTTTGTAAGACTGGTGAGGATTAGTGTCTGGAGAGAGCTGAGCACAGGGCTGCCTGTGGCAGGGCCCCACAGACGTGAGCTGCCTTTCATCTCCCGGAAGGCTGGCCTGGGAAAGCCAGGACCCCAAAGCGCCTTCCTTCTGCTCTCCCTCCTTCATACAGGTTCACCCTCACCCGCAGCCACTGGTCTGAGAATATTCCAACTCAGGGCCTTTGCACATGCTGTTCTTACCACCTGGACAGCTCAGCCCGCGCATCTCCTTTTGGATGGTTTGCCTCCTCCAGGGGTTTGCTCAAAAGAGGGCTCCCTATACACTCTGTTGAAAATGGTAGGCCTTCTTCCCTCTTTGCTGTGTTCCAACTTCTCACCTCAAGTCTTCTCTTATAGTGTTTGTTTATCTGTCTTCCTCCACGAAGGCAGGGTCAGTCCATTTTCTTCACTGCTGCATGCATAGCATTCAAAACCCTGCCTGACACAGGGTAGGCCCTCCATGAGGTTGGGGCTAATTAAATGGCCAGGCAGGCAGACAGCTCTTCCAGTGACTGGTGACCAGCTCGGGCCCCAGATAGCCTCCTGGCCTCTGCTCTCCTGTACAGGGTGTGTGGGAGTAACTCCGACCGAGTCCTGCACTCCACAGCTGGGGCAGGCGGAGGCCACGGCTGGCCCTCGGCCTCGGCTCAGCCGGCAGAGCCGCTGCTGGGACGCAGGGAGATGTTGGGGGTCTGGAGGTGTGGGGAGGAGGCAGGACGGGGGCCACCGTCACCGGGGCTGAGAAGGGGAAAGGGCATTCCAGGCAGAAGGAACTGCTGAGGCAGAGGCCCTGAGGCAGGAGGTAGGAAGCATGTTGAGGTTGAGGTGGGGCAGGAAGAGAATGGGGCGGAGCCTCCGAGGCCTGGGTGGCAGTTTCACCAGGCACTGTGGTACTTGGGTCTCAAGCTTAGCTTCCCCATCCGGAAATGGGAAGATGAGTCGTAGCCTCCCTCCTGAAAGCCTCCCCATGGGATCCGACCCTGCTGCAGTGTCCGACTTGCTGCGAGATCCTGGTCTGGTCGTTTCTATCTCTTGGCCCATCAGCCCTCCACACCCGCCATAGACCGGGAGCCCAGACAGCACTTAGGCACGGATTCTCTCGGATGCTGTAAAGTTAAAGCATATGAAAGACCATTCACTTTTAAAAATTAAAAAGATAGGGGCACCTGGGTGGCTCAGTGGGTTGAGCGTCCGAAAGCCCCACATTGGGCTCTCTGCTATCAACACAGAGCCGGCTTTGAATCTTCTGTCTCCTCCCCTCACTGCCCTTCCCCCGCTTATGCTCTCTCCCTCTCAAAAATAAAATTTTAAAAACATTTTAAGAATTAGAGAAAGACACTTGGCACTGACATATTTTCTTTTAGGGCCAGTGAATTGTGTTTTCTAACCTCTGGGCCTTTACATTGACTGCACCCTCTGCCTGTCCCTCCCTCAAGCACCCCCTCAACTCAGAGGTTTTCTTGGAGGGATCTCCCCAGACTGCCCCCCCCAGCTAAATGGCCCCATCTCGCCCCCAACCCACTTTACCTTTTCCTTCGCACACTTTAAACTGCCTGAAATTATAAACCGTGGAGTTCTCCCCAACTCCTCTTTCTCTCAGTTACCACATCCGGGTCATCCGCACATTCTGCCGGCTATGCCTGCAAAACACCATCAGAGTGTGATCCCTTCTTGCACCCCCCTGCCGCCACCGGGTCTGTGTCCCCCTCATCACTCACCTGGACCAGTGCGGCAGCCACCTCAGCCCACCTCAGCCCTCTCCCTGCTCCTGCCCCGGGTCTGTTCTCCAGGCCACCAGGTGGATTCCATGAAGTCACGAGTCACCTCCTGCCCCTCCTATGGCTCACAGCGATTTAAGAGGCTGTGCGGACCCGGTCCTGTCTCCTCCCTATCCTCACCTTCCCCCGCTTTGCCTACATTGCTCCAGCCGCCCCAGCCTCCTCACTGTCTCTCAGACACACCAGACCCACTCCTGCCTCGCCTTTGCGCCGGCTGTTCCCTCTGCTGAAACACTGTTCCCCTAGACGTCCCACGACTGACTCGCTCTGCTCCTTCCTGTCCCTACTGAGCACTCCCTCTACCCTACCCCCTGCCACGTGACACATTAACTTGCTTTGCTTGTTTATTCTCTGTCTCCCCTTCCAGTCGGTTCCAAAGGGGCAGAGCCGTTTGTCTGGCTTGCTTGTGGGTGAGTCCCAGTATCAGAAAAAAGGCCTGGGGCTCAGTGAACACGTGCTGAGTGGAGCGGATGGACACGTGGTTGAGCGCAGTGGGACTGATAGGACGGCTCGGGGGGTGGGAGGGTGCGCGGCTGGGGCGGCTGCATAGGTCGGTGGACGGTGGTGTGCTGAGACTGCTTATAACAGCACAGGCTCCCGTGGGGCTTGCTGTGCTCTAGGCGCTCCTCGAAGCATGTTGTAGAAACGGCCTCATTTAGTCTCCCACATACGAGGAGTGCTTTCTTATATCCCCACTTCATGGATGAGGAAACTGAGGCACAGAGAGGTTATTCAGCATCCAGCTCTAGCAGCACGGCTCCACACGCCCGTCCCTCCACCGCTTGCCTGAATCAGGCCCCAAGAGTCCCCACAGCCTCACTGTTCACCACCCTCCCTCCGCAGGATGTCACGACCGGGCCGTCCTGCTCTATGAGTACGTGGGCAAGCGGATCGTGGACCTGCAGCACACCGAGGTCCCCGACGCCTACCGCGGGCGTGGCATTGCCAAGCACCTCGCCAAGGTAGGGTGGGCGGAGGGTGAAGGGTGGGGCGAGGGTGCCACCCCTGTGCTCGGCTAACCCATGGCCTCCAGGAGCTGATCTGGGCCTGTGTCTTGGCCAGAGTACAGACGGGTGCCCCCTTCCCGCCAGCAGGTTACAGTTGGGAGTATGCAAGTGTCAGGCAGCACAGGTTGCCCTCCCCTCCCCAAGCTCCTCTGGCGGGGGTGTGTGTGCAGTTCGGGGGTGCATGCAGAGTTCCTTAGGGCTAAACCTCCTGGCCACTGATGCCTGCCGTCTGTCCGGAGCGTGCCAGCCGGGGCCCCCGCACCCACCATATAATCCATAGGTGCTCAGTAAATGCTTAATGAACGAGTGGACTAATGAACGTTCAAGTACATTGGCTTGTGCCCCAACCCCCGACCCCAGCCCCGACATGCCAAAAAAGCCCCTCCAACCCCAGGCCAGCCTGAGAGCACATTCGGGTCCCATGTGGGGAATCGCAGCCTGGAACAGAATGGCCTTCCGTTCGTTCTCCTGAGGGCTGCTCTGGGCCCACGTTGCCTCTGCCTGCTCTTCCCCCCTCCACCCCCCCCCCCGAGCCTAGTTGCTGACCAGGGCCCGCAGCTGGTGCCTGAGTCCTTCAGACACAGCTGTCTACTTCCTTTAAGTGGGACAAGCTGCGAGCCGGTGGCAGGGGCGGGGGTCGGGAGAGCTGCCCCCTGTTACCAAGGAGGAAACTCCGGGAGCTACTGACCGGGGTAGAGGGGAGGTGGGCCGTGAAGCAGGATGCACCCCGCCCTTGTGGCCTTGGCTGGCCACGGGACCTGCTGGCGGCTCCATCAGAGACTCCCCCGAGCTGTGCCTGCCGAGGACACCAAGGTGTTTGCCGTATGGCCTCTGACTTGTACCTTCTTGGGCCTTCAGTTTCTTTTTCTGTGAAATGGGAGCAAAGACTGGAATCTTGTCTCTTGAGGGTGTCGGGTAGTGAGTACTGAGATGGGCTGTGGACAGTGAGATGCCCCAAGGCCTGCTTGGGCGTGTGGGGCGGAGGGTTACGTTGGCCACACAGGCACGGGGTGCCTGGAGGGCGCTCAGTACATGCTGTCCCCCCTCATCAGACCAGCCAGCCCCGCCCGGGCTGTCCTCCACTTTGTTTCAGCAAAAGTTTATTAATCCCCAGCTGTGTGCAGCATCCTGCCAGGGGCCAGAGGCAGGGGATGCACCAGACATGTGCTCGCCCTCCGTCTCGTGGGTTCATTGCTGCAAACAACCATAGCCACAGGTGAAGGCCACACACTGGCACGCTCATCGCCTCCCCCACTGTTGGCTTTGGGAGCCCTGTAAACTAGGCACGACCTCTGCTGGGTGCAGGGAGCCCTGGGGCACCCCGACCCAGCCTGACAGTGAGGTTCAAGAAGGATGCATCAAATGAGTGGCCACGTGGAGATGAGGGGAAAGGCGCTATAGGCGGCAGGTGCCTTGGGAGCACAGAGGCCCTGAGCTCAGATGGGCATGTGCATTGGGTGGCAGGCGTCGTGGTGGCAGGACAGAGGGTGGGGGGGACAGGTACGGCAGGCCGCGGCGCGGCTCAGTGTCTGCCTGATGCTGTTCATAAGCACAGAGCTGTGTCCTCCCGGGGTGGTTTTGAGCACGGCCTCTGGATCCAGTCCTGGCCTATTCACTGTGGTGCTATGTGGCCTTGGGCAATTTCCCAAAGCGTTCTGCCTCAGTTTCCCCACCTGGAAGAGGAGGGATGTGGCAACACCTCCCCACTTCCGTGGCAGACCAGGTAGAGCCTCAGCCAGGGCAGCCAGCTCCCGCCCCAGGGGCGGGGGGCAAGGGGCCCAAGAAGCGTGGGGCGTGGGCTCCAGGCACTGACCACCTTTCTCTGTCCCGGCTGCCAGGCTGCTCTGGACTTCGTGGTGGAGGAGGACCTGAGGGCCCATCTCACATGCTGGTACATCCAGAAGTACGTCAAGGAGAACCCCCTGCCGCAGTACCTGGAGCGCCTGCAGCCATAACCCCGGCCCCGCAGGGCGGGAGCCCTCCGTGCCAGACCTCTCCCTGCGGCCTTCGCCCGGGCCCTCCACGTGCTCTCAGGAAACCCGGCCCCCGCGGGGGACAGACTCAGAGTTATTTTTGTAAGGACACTCAGCTGTGGCCCCTGGAGGCTGCTGGCGGGGGATGGGCAGTGGTCCAGCAACCCCGGTAGAGGGGTGGCCAGGTCGCCAAGGGCCCGGCCACTCCCCCTCCACAGACGCTGGCTGGCTTCTCAGAAGGCCTCCCCAGCCGTTTGCGGGCGGGCCTCCTGCCAGGACCGGAGTGCGCTCAGGGGTGTCCCCGTGGCCAGTCTGGGGCCCACCTGCTGTTCCCAGCTCCGTGATTGGCAGCAGGGCCAGTGTGGGGCCCCCTCTGCCACCACCTAGGTCTGTGTCCTTTCTGCAGATGAGGAGGGTGTCCCCTGAGTGGAGAGGAGCAATAAGAAACCTCGTGTGCCAACTTCCCGGGGGCGTAGCACCCAGCCACGGCTGCCACCAGCACCACCCCTCCTCTTCCTCGAGCTCATGTGCCCTGGCTCTGGGGGGGGCAGGCCAAGGCGAAGGGCGAGCCTCCCTCATGTGCAAAGCCCTGAATGGGTGCACACGTGAGCACACATGCACACACACACACGCACGCACGCACACACGCATACGTGCACACACACAGGACACTGTGCAGGGCTGTACATCAGCGGAGGGAGCGCTGGGTGTTCTCTCCATCGTACCTGTTCCCTTCACTCCTTGCCCCCTGGTCTGTCAGCTCTGCAGGAAATCGACACCCCCTCACCCTCCTCTGCTCCCCACAACCTCCCCGGCCCTGTGGCTGCCCTCCCTGTTTGGCCCGTCTGCCTGAAGACAGCTCCAAGTGTGGCCTGAGCACCCAGCACTGGGAAGCCCCCCTTCACCGGCCTCTTGGCCACCTGTCTCTTTCTCAGAGACGACTCTTATTGAAGCTCGAGTAGGAGGGAGGCAAACTGTCCTCCAGAAACCGTCCTCACCACCCAGTGGGAAGAGACATTGCTGTGGAGGGATTTCCTTCGTGGCAGCTGGATATCAGAGCATCTTTTCTCTTTCGTGGCAAGCTGGTGGCCGGGCACATTCTGTGGCCTGGCTGGAATTCCAGGGTCCCTCCCAGACCAACTTCGCTGGCCTGGGAGGTGCACATCAGCACCCTTTGTTCTGCTGGCCTTGTGAGCTGGGTAGGGCTCTGGGTCCTGATCTGTGCCCTACTTCCCACAAGGTCGAATCCATGCTGTTCCTCTGTGGGGCTGAGGGGAGACCCTGGGGTCAGAGTCCCTTTGGGGCTGAGATGTCAGTTAACAGCACATCTGGAGGGGTATTCTGTCCCCCCTAGGCCTCTGGCTGGGGGTGGGCTTGGGGAGGTGTGTGTGCTGGGGGCACCAGTTGCCACGGTGACCCCTCCCTTTTCTCTGGCTTACCATGGCATCCATTGGCCTGTGGTCACCTTTTCCACTCACCTCTTCGCTTCCAGTCTGCACCAAGCTCACCACCATCACTATGGCCGCTCAGGGGCCCAGCTCAGACATTTGCACAGACACCTTCGTACCCAGCGGCAGGAACATCTAGATCAGCAGGCGCACAGAGGCCTGACAGCCTGCCCACTGGGGGTCCCTGAGCCCCAGAGAGGCACTGTCGTTAGCATCCCCCACCCACTCCACACGCCAGCCCCCGGCCCCGCCCTGGCCTCCAAGAATTCCCTGAGTGCTGAGGACAGCCCTCACTTTCCTGCCATGCTCCTTAGCTCTGTTTGCCAAGGGCTATCGTGAGGACCCAGAGAAGCCCCCTGGCCTCTGCTGTGCTGGGGGGGGGGGGTTTCCTGGGGAGGAAGAACTGTGGCAGGAAGCAGGCCCGGCTGCCAGTTCCCCTCCAAGGCTCTGGGTATCATCCCTGGTGCAGTTTGAGGAAGGAGCGGGTCGTAGGATCTGGGCCTTCTCCCTCTGACTCCCGCAGCCGTGGGGTTAGGGGTCCCCTCCCACTCCCTACCCGCACATGCTTTCCCAAGGTCAAGCACAGACTCAGTCATAAAATCTCCTCCCCAGTAGCTTCAGCAAGCTGCTGCCACCTCCCTCGATGGCCTGCAGGGTGATGTGAGTACCAGGAGGGCACCTGGCCCCCCGGGGCCTCCCGGCCCATCCATGGGAGGGTGCCCTGCAGCAGTGACAGAGCCCAGGGCAAGCAGGGCATACAGGAGCAGAGAGCCGGGTGGCATCAAGAGAGAGCAGCCCTGTTCCAGTCCCCAGTGTGTCCCAGCCCGAACCTGTGTTCCTACAGCAGGTGACGTGCCACACTGGCCAGCACACACACGAAACACTTAGTACTTGAACCAGGAGAAATGCAGGGTCTCGGGGGCCTTGTACAGCCCCAGGCCCAGGAACAGCTTGTCCCCACTTCCTGCAGGAGCGACCCGGAGCCTCTTCAACTCTGGCTGCCTTAAAGTACCATTGCCCCCATGCAGGGGTGCAGCTGCAGGGCCAGCCCGGCTCTCAGTCTTCAGCAGAGCCTCAAAGCTGCAACAGCCTGCTCTCTGAGGCTGGGACCCTGGTCTGAAGCAGATGCGGGCCCTGGAGCCCCCAGCCCACCCCCACCGGCCTGCCCCCCTACCCCGGTGCTACTCAGTCTCTTCCACCATCTGCGGAGTTCTGGGAGCCCTTGTCAGGAGGCAGGTCACATGGGCCAGTTCCTGCACCACCCTGCAGGGGCCAGGGAAGCTCGGGGATCCCACCTGGGTCCCCCTTCCAGCAGAATGTCCCCAAAGGCTCTGCGCTCTCCTGCCGTGTCTCACTTTGTGGGTTTTTCTTGCCCGGTGAAAATAGGGGGTAACTCATGTGCCTTTCTGACTCAGGACCTGTTCCAGGTGGTGTCTGGGCCGAGGCTGGTCTCCAGACGAACTCCCTTTTGTTATTTTTCAAACTCCTGAACAGATTGCATGGCATTCATTTCAATAAACGGTGTGACGTGGCGCGTGGGCCCCGACTGCAGATGCAGCACAGCAGTGCTCACAGGTGGGGGGGGGGGGGGTTGCAGCTCTCCACCATCTTGCACCTTCCCCATGGCAATCTGATTGTTGGCCGCTTTCTACTGGTGAGGAAACAGGTTCGGGGGCCATGGAGTGGGAGGAAGGAAAGAAGGGAGAAGGCAGGCTTGGCAGGTGCTCTCCATTCTGTCCCTGGTCCCTGGTGTTCAGCCACAGCAAAGCCCCGTTTTCAGGTGGGGAACACGAGGCTGTGACAGGCACCCAGGCTTGGCCAAGGCCTTCTGGCAAGACAGCGGTAGCGTCAGGATCTGGGGGCTTTGTCATCTTTTTTCGTGCGGCAGCTCCCAGCTCTTGAGGCCACAGTCATGCTCTCAGCAAGGCCAGTGGGGCAGCTGGACGGGGGTTACCAGGAAGAGACCCTGAGTTGCTGTCCTGTTGCACCAGCTACTGGCCTTAGGGACGGCCCCCTCCCCGCCAAGAGCCTTGTCTTGAGGAAATCCTGGTCCAGTGCCGTGGGTCCATGGCGTGAGCCATGCATAGTGCTCGAGGGCTGTGTGGCCATGTTATGTGTATGTCCCACTCTCAGCCCACGACCCCGTGGCCTGGGGAGGGCGGGACCACAGTCACCAGGCCCTTCAAAGTCTCGTCACAGCCATGCCGTGAGATCCCAGTTCTTAGGCCTGTTTTACTGATGAGGAAACTGAGGCTTAGAGGGGGGGAATCACTAGGCTACAGCCCACATAGCTAGAGAGCAGGGGGGACCAGGATCCACACTTAGTTCCCGTCCTCCTCCTAAGATGCTGCTGTTTGTGTGTTGTGAGCTTGTTCTTTAGGTGACAAATGGTATCCAAGGCCAGTATGCAGATAACTCTTATGGCGGCTTCTCTGCTCATTTGGAAGGATGAGGTGGGTTCCATCTCGAGGTACAAGGTGCATCGCTAATCAGGGGGGCCCAGTGGGCGTGAGAAGACACCACATGCAGCTAGGGCATGATGGGAATTATGAGGGAGAGTCCAAGCGTTCGATCATGTTGTCCTTTCCACAGTTCAGGATTCTTGAATTTGCTTGAGTCCACCCGCATGTCCCCTGTGCCATTCTCGGGACCGGCTCCTTCCAAGTCAGCGCCCTTAAGTGCACATCGGAGTCTGGTGTGGCTGTGAACGCGACTTGCACCCTGCAAGACCCAGTCCCGGGTTCTGTTTGCAGTCGTATCTGGCCAACAGCTACGGGACATTAAGAGGGGCTTTTCTGGCCCCAGGGATGCTCTGGGGTTTTGTGCCCGCACCTTGAGCCGAGCCCACATTTCCCGCTGACTTCCGTGTAGCCCCGGCTGGCTGCCAGCCTGCACCAGATCATGCAGGGACTGCGGACAGCAGCTGGTGGGGCTCCAGGCTGCGCCTTCTGGAGGTGCCTCAACCCCTTACCTGAAATGTGTGACACGTGTGCTGCGAGCTTCCAGAGCCCACTTCTCCCGCCCCCGGGGCAGCAAAGTCACACATGTGCTGGTGCGACGCCGGGGCTTGTGATCAAGCTTGGTCCCCGTGTTAGTGGACCGATCCTTGGAGGCCATCAGCCCTCCCAGGAACAGCAGTCAGTGGAGAGTCAGGAAAACGGAAACTGCTCCAGGTGCTTCAACCAGAGGGGATTTTGTGCAGGGACTGGTTACCAAACCCTGAGAAGGAGGAGAGGAGCAAGCCAGAAGATGACCGAGGGACCCAAAGAGCAGTAAGGGCGGGAACCTACCTGGTGTGAGCCGTGAGCATACGTGCCCGCAGGTCCCTGCTGCCACCGCTGCTAAAACACCCCCCAAATCCAGAAACTCTGCCTTCTAGTGCAGCTCACAGCAGGGAGGGAGAACCCAGCTTGTAATACATCTGTCTCTGAAGCATTGCTGTCTGTTACACTAATAACACATTGACTCACACACACAGGTCCAGTCTGGTCAGGCATTTAGATTTGTTGCTGAGGTTTATGGGTAGTCATCAAAGGGATATAAGGGAAGTGCCATGTTCTTTTATTTTATTTATTTTAGAGAGAGAGAGAGAACAAGTAGGGGAGGGGCAGAGAGAGGAGGAGACACAGAATCCGAAGCAGGCTCCAGGTTCTGAGCTGTCAGCACAGAGCCCGACACGGGGCTTGAACTCACGAACCACGAGATCATGACCTGAGCCGAAGTCAGGCGCCTAACCGACCAAGCCCCCCAGGCGCCCCCACTGTGTTCATATGCAGTGTGGACGAGGGGTTAAGGTGAAGGCCGTGGGCAGCAAGGCAGCCTAGGAGGGCAGGGCAGACCCTAGGCCACAACGGGAGCAGGCAGACTGAGAAGTGAGTGGCTTTGGGATGTTTGAGTAACAGGTCCCAGAATCCCACAGCCAACAAGTGACAGGGTCAGGATTCAAACTGGGATCTGTCTGGGTTGAAGAGGGCCCTGTGTGTGTGTGCATGTGTGTGTGTGCATGTGTGTGTGTGTGAGTGTGTGTGTGTACACATGGCCCCCAGATGCCATCCCCACTGCAGCCAGCCTAGGCCAGGACCCAACATCCCTCACCAGACCTTCTGGTTTCCCGGCCACTCTTTGGCCCCCTGTGGGCTGCTCTCCACACAGTAGCCCGCAAGCTCTTTCTAAAACCTCAGATCACTTCTCTGTCCTCCTCCAAACAGTCCAGTGCCCTCTCGCTGCACTAAGGGTACCATCTGAGGGACCGAAGGCAGCCCCTGCTCAGCCGTGTCCCTCAAGTTCCTCACAGCTAAGCTGCACTGACCTCGTGTCTATTCTTCAGATCCTTCGAGCTTGCTCCTGCCTCAGGGCCTTTGTATTTCTCTTCCCACTACCTGAAATCTTCCTCCAGATATTACCATAATTTAACCTTCCTTGTCATTTAGATTTGTTGTAAATAGACATGCATTCAGCTGCTAGGAAAACCCAAGTCACAGTGACGTGTCATTTGTTGTATGTATTAGAAAGTCGGGGTGGCTCAGTCGGTTAAGCGTCCGACTTTGGCTCAGGTCACGATCTTGCAGTTCATGGGTTCGAGCCCCACGTCGGGCTCTGTGCTGACAGCTAGCTCAGAGTCTGGAGCCTGCTTCAGATTCTATATCTTCCTCTCTCTGACCCTCCCCTGCTCATGCTCTCTCTCTCAGAAATAAATACAACATTAAAAAAATTTTAAAAAAGAAAGTCTGGAGGGTGATGGTCTGGGGCTTGCCCGGTGGTGCTATGATGGTCTCGAAGGCCCAGGCTCTTTCTGTCCTCCTACATCTCCTTCGTATGTTGGCTTTTGCCCTCCTGACTGTTGCTTCATGGTCACAAAATGGCTCCCATACCTCCAGGTATCACAGCCACATTCTAGGCAAGAGGAAAGGTGGATGCTGCCTTTCCTGACCTCCCCATCTAATGGTGCCTCCCAGGACATCCCTAACCTCGTTTGCCCCATCTTATTCTGATCCTGTATCGCTATTGGGGGTTTTCTTCCTCGTGTCCTTGCTTGTTGACCAACTCTTGCCACTGAAATAAAAGCTCGCAGAGAGCAGGACTCCACAGCCTTGGGCATTGCCAACCCCCCACTGCGGCAGGGTCTGGAGTACAGGGATGCCTGTTGCATGAAGAAATAATTAAGTCCCCTCTAGGTGCCATAGTCAGGACTCAAACCCAGACCTCCCACCTCAGGGGCCTGGACATTTCACTGAGTGTCCCTGGGACCCTCTCTGTGAGGAATCCAGGCAGCCCAGTCCATTTGCGGCTTCCAGGCAAATGAACAAGGAGCCTGTGTTTTCAGGCCTGGAGAGAGAGAGAGAGAGAGAGAGAGAGAGAGAGAAATCTCCCCCCACCCCCCACTGGGATTTGGAGAGTGCTCCTTACTCATAGTATGAGGCTTTATTTCCTCAAAGGTGGCTGGCCAGCAAGGTGGCCCTGGGTCGTGCGGAGCCCGGAGTTAAATGGCAACCTCTCCCCACAGGGGCAAGTGCCTCCCTTTTCGAGGGAGCTTTAGGGGAGTGACAATATCTAACTAGAATTTAATAACCTTTTTTGGTTGTTTTTATTGTATTTATTTTTGCAAGGTCCTGCATGTGATACAGGCATTCCATGTAGGTAGTCATATAGCATTTCCCCGTTAAATCAGTATGTTTTGGTGCTCACAGAGGGAACCCATCCAATCTTCCTTGTGATTTCCAACTTCTTTCAGCCTGGAAGTTGGCAATGGTCACCGCAGAGCACAGGGCCTTGTTACGTTTGGTGGCCTCAGTCCAAACTGGGCAACGGTGTGTTCTGGGCAGAGTTGTGTCCCCCCAAATTCATATGTTGAGGTCCTGTACCTCAGAATGTGACTGTATTTGGAGCTATTCTGTAAAGAGGCAAGTGAAGGGAGGTGAGATCATATGGGTGGCCCTCACCCGATCTGACTGGCCAGATGAAATCTGGATCCACAAGGAGACACTAGGCATGTGTGTGTGTGTGTGTGTGTGTGTGTGTGTACACGTGCACGTGCTCAGGGGTCATGGGAGAACCAGTCTGTAGTACTTTGCTGTGGCAGCCCTAGCAAATGAACACAGAGTATGTTCCAGTGTCCTGTGAATATAAACTACATTGCTCCCCTCTCTCTGCCATCCCCCAGCGCCAGCCTGGCTGTGAAATCAATATATGAACGGCTGTCTCACCTACGTCACGCTCCTGAGGGAGGCACATACTATACAATGCACTGGGAAAAGGTATTATTATTATCAAACCATCTTGGCCCTGTTTGCCCAGGACCTCCTCACAGTAACAGTGGAATTCCCATAGGGCGCCTGAGTAGCTCAGTTGGTTAAGCGTCTGACTCTTGGTTTCGGCTCAGGTCCTGATAACACAGTTCGTGGGATCAAGCCCTACACTGGGCTCTGCGGTGACAGCATGGAGCCTGCTTGGGATTCTCTCTCTCTCCCTCTCTCTCTGTGTCTCCACCTCCCCTACTCACATGGCCGTGTGCTCTGTCTAAATACATGAATGA